AAAGCACACAGGACTGGGCTATTAATCATGCCACAGGCCAGGCTGAGCAGCGCCTCTAGAATAATGAATTACCCAGCTCCTGCCAAAATGAGTCACACCATGGCCACGAAGGAAACTTATCTCTCCCTGACTCTCTCCCCATCTTGTTCCTCCCTCTTCCCTTTCTCGTCTCCTGTGATCTGTCTTGCCAGTTGTAATTGGAACATTTTCTCCCGTATTTAAGTTCTGAAGTGTCTTTGGGACTTGCTAATGTATCCAAAGGCTTAAAACAAGTCCCGTCAAGGACGTTTATTGCTGTCTAGCAGGGCCAGTTAAGCGTAGCTTACAAGCAGCTCTGGGTACGGATGGTCAGGAATGTAAATGTTCCTTTTGGAAAAGAAGAGAACCCCAGCAAAAAGAAAAGAAAAAAGAAAAAAAAAAGAAGAGAAAAGAAAAGAAAAAAGACAAAAAAAAAGATCGTTATGATGATATCAAATGAGGCCTTAAAGAAGAGGCAGTTTCTGGCCTGGTCATGTGACAGAGGTTGCACAGGACTTGGGATGGTGTGACCTCTGGTTTGAAGGGGTTGTTTTGGGACTTGGGGGAAGGCTACTTAAGAGGGGATCTGAGGTGATATGTACTGAATAAAAGAAACCTCTCACTTTGCTGACTTTTTCTGCTTCCTGTGGGGGTAAATCCAGGCTCACCTAACAACTGGGACCTCTCCATTTTCCTGCTCTCAGAATATGTTTCCTCAACTTATTGCTGTATACATATTATCACTAAAGACGCTTTTGGCTGTACTTCTGTTTCTTACATCGTCAGGAGTCTAGAGGAAGGCGGTCCAGGGTTAGTGTAGTGACTCATCGATTCATTCAAACCCCAGGCTCCTACCATTCTGCCCTGTCATAATTCATTTGCTGGCTTATTGCCTCATGGTTGCAAGATGGATGCTGTAACTCTAGATACAGTGTTTTTATTCAAGGCACTAAGAAGTGGAAAAGACTTGTCAGGACATCATCTGTATTTGTCACTTGTTTCAGGAAGAACAAAGCGTTTCAGAAGCTCCCAGAAGTTGTGTGCCTGTGTCTTATTGGCCAGAACTACGTCACATCCTTACCTGCCATCCTTGGCTGCAGGGGAGTCTGGATAAGCAGGTTTAGCTTTCCTATACTCCGAACTGGAGGCAGCAAGGGAAATGGGATTTGAAAATGCCTGTTGGGTTAGCCAACAACCCAAGAGGGGGAAATCATACAAGAGTGCATTGGGCAAGCACAGGCAGTCTCACCTAACAGGAGACAAGGAAATTCGTATTCTTGAGCTTCCTATGTGCCAGACGCTTTGCAAGGCAGGATGCCTGCATGCGTGCAGGTCACGGTGACCTGTGTTGTACAGTGAGAAAGCTAAGGTCTGCGCAGTGCTCTGCATGTAGTTATGATAGGAACCTGGATTTGATTCCAGGCCTGTCTGAGACTTAAAAGACTATTCCCTCTACCTCTGGGAAGTTGAGGCCAGTTTCCTAGCCTTGGTTTTTGGGGTGACTCACTGAATCTCAGCACCTGCATTCAGTCACCAGCACCTTCAGTTCCCTGTAGACAAAGTGGGAATTTAGAGCAATTATTTTATGGGCCCCTGATAAATTTTATTTAGAAGATGAATACTCAGGTTTTTATGTAGTGATGACGGTTAAAAAATAAAAGTGGCCCAGGAGGTAGAAGACCCAGCTCTGCCCCAAACCTGGTGCTGAGTTGCTCTGGGGTCTTGGGTAAGTCATTTTCCCTTGTCTGGGTCGGAGATGATCTACAAGGAGTCTGACAATCTTAGGACGTATCTTTCATTTGTTTGCACCTTTGGTTTGCTCATTCGTTCAACAATTATTTATTAGGTGCTGCTTTAGGTACTTGGAATATGCCAATTAACAGAACAAAGATCCTTGATGCCTTGTGGACCTTATGTTTTATCCAATCTGGGTGTGTTGGAGGCAGGGGGTGCAAACAATGAACACAAAGCAATATAAACTAGTGATGAGTAAATTAGTAGACATTAGAAGGTGATTCGTTCCCTGGGGGACAAAAGTGGGAAAGGGGATAGGGTCTGGCAGTGCCCCGGGGGAGATTCAGTGGCCCTCACTGAGAACATGGCATTTGAACAAAGACGTAATGGAGAGGAGGGTGGTGGCAGGCACTTAATTAGGGTAGTGGCTGCAGGCAGACAGAGTAGCTAGAGCAAGGACCCAGAGGCAGACATGTGCCTGGGTTTTCTGAGCTGTTTCTTTCCCATCTGAGAACTGGCCTGGAGCCCTTCTCACCCCAACCCCATCATTTCCTTTCGGATGCATTGGCTTTCAGTTGTCTTTCAAACCAGCTCAAGCTTCCAAGACCGGAGGGCCATTTAAATGTGACCCTGCCGTGGCACTTAGAGACATGCTACCTGGCCACCACCTTTATATTTGTACTTCATTTCACACTACAGAAACACTTGATTTCTGGGGATGTAAGGGAAATGGTAGAACCAGCAAGACCTGGAGATATTAAAATCCTATCAGAATAGCACAAACCACCATTTCCAGCCTATTCTTGCTGTGTTTCCTGTTGAATGCCTCCTGCACAGCGAGTGACTCAGTGTTTTTGTCATGTTCTCAAATGATTGTCTGTGTTAATCAACCATAAACCCCCAGGTACAAGAGAGCCGTGTTTTCAACTTTATCGGTTACAGCCTGTAATGGCAGGCTGGGCCTTCCTTATTAGCTCCGCAAGGCCAGGAGCCTGCGGGAAAACTCAGTCACTTGCTGGGCTATGCAAACATGTGTGTGTGTGTGTGTGTGTGTGTGTGTGTGTGTGTGTGTGTGTGTCTAATGACAACTCTGAATACATCTTGAAATATAACAAAGTAAAAGGAGAAGAGTAGCCTTTTTGAGTTGTGTTCTATGCAGAGAAGTGACCTACAGTCTGCGAACAGTGGTATCGCGCAGGTGTGTTATTATCCCAAGTTGGACTGAGAACTTGTATCACGTGAACCGATTGATGGGCTCATGCATTCAAAGAACCCCCTTCTGGTCCTAGTATGGGGTTAGCATGGGCCCTAGCCACCTACTCTAAAGTAGATTACACTTGGGGCACTTGGGTGGCTCAGTGTCTTAAGCATCCAACTCTTGATTTTGGCTCAGGTCATAATCGCACAGTCAGTCCTGAGACTGAGTTCCACATGGGGCTCCGTGCTGGCTCTGTGCTGGGGTGTGGAGCCCCCTTAGGATTCTCTCTCTCCCTCTGCCCCTCCCCCACTCATGCAAACACACACTCTTTTTCTTTCATAAATAAATAAATAAATAAATAAATAAATAAAAGCAGATTATACTTCAGGCAAGAGGCTAGGCCCGCCCCCCAGAAAGCCCTCTGCCTTTAATGTGCAGGCCTCGGTCCAAATACTGAACACACCTGGGTGCCACTCACCGGATACTGAGAAGTTTAGTCCTGGGTCATGGCCCAGCATGGATTTCATAGTCCTTTTCCAGGTGTGATTCCTCTCATGCGGCCTTGACATGTGTTTGATGGGAAGAGCACGGACACTGAACTTTGACCTCGGTAATCTGAGTGAGGTTCCGGGAGATAATTTGGAATAACATACAAAACGCAGGTTATATTGAAAAGAAAAGGAGGATGAAAGTCTTCATCAGGATTGTAGGCCACTGAACCAAATTTCACACTGTGTTTTCTTACCCAACCACCGGGACACTGAAGCAGCAAGCATCTCTTCTGGGGTTTCCTAACCTGGTTTTCCCTTTCTTTTGATTTGCTCCTTCCTATGCTCCTCAGAGACAACTGAGCCATGGACGCAGAGTGGGGGAGAAGCATACTGCTACAGACGAAGATTGCATAGGCAGGGGCGGAGACGTTAGCCTCGAAAATTCCAATGAGAACACAAAAGTCAGTCTCCTCATAAGAAAGAATATAACGGTGCAGTCTCTATTTTACATATTGTCTACTTACAAGATGGAAGCTATTGTTCATTCATTCATTCAACAGACATACCAAGCACCTGCCACTGTTGCCTGGCTCCCATCTAGGCCCTGGAGATACATGCAGATACAGCCCAAAAGTTTCCTTGTCCTCATCTGATTTGGTTAAGCCATATGAAATTGCTGTTTTTGTAGGTCTAAAACAATCGACTAAACAAACACGTACCTACTATATGATTCAGCCGTTGCACACCTAGGTGTTTACACAAAAGAAACAGAAGCATATGTCCGGATGAAGACTTGTACATGAGTGTCTGTAGCAGCTTTATGTGCAATAGCTCAGACTGGAAACAGTGTCCATCAACAAGCGGATGGATAAACAAATTGTAATGTAACCGCACAATAGAACGCTAGTTGGCAATGAAAAGGAATGAAGTTACTCATATATACTGCAACAAGGCTGGACCTCAATCCATTATGTTCGTGAAAGAAATGGAATGATTTAATTTATATAAAACTTCAGAAGATGCCAGCTAATCCATAGTGACAGAAAGCAGAACTGGGTCAGGGGATAGCAAGGGCAGGCGGGGAGACACCAGAGTAGCACGTGCAACCCTTTGGCATGGGGGAGGGGTATATCTACAGTGTTGATTGTGATGACGGTTTCACAGGTGCATACATGTCAAACCTTTGCAAATGATAGACTTCAAATATAGGCAGTTAATTGTATGATAATTCTACCTCAATAAAGGCATTAAAACAGCACCAATTTCATAGGGTTCAATCGACAGATAAATTTTGGTGATCAATTAATTTTTGAGACATTATATTCATTTTTCATACATTTAGTGGAAACTCACCATGTATCGGAAATACTGTGAGAGATACTACCCATGAAGAGTGAAAAAAGCTGTTCTTGCTTTTAGGCTTAGTGAGCAAAATAGGTTCATAAAGAGATGACTGAATGGCTTTTCTACAGGCAGTTCTGGAGCGATTACCGGGCTTAACCAAGTTCTTGTCTGTTGACTGCATTTATGCATGTGTCTATGGCTTCTATCTTTTTCAGAGTGACTTGTGGTCTTTGGGAATCACCGCTATCGAGATGGCAGAAGGCGCTCCCCGTAAGTACCTTCCTCTGGGTGAAATCTGTTGCTGGTCTGCTCTGCAGGGACTGAGCGATGCTTCCTTGCCAGGCTCTGTAGTAGCTTTGCTTCTGCTACACCGAGCCCGGTGTGGGTTCGAGCTGGCATGTTTAGAAAGCAAAGTCATCTTAAATCAACCAGGAATCCATTCATCTCAGAGCGGTGTGAGGATCTCGTGTTTAGAGGAAACAAGAAAGAAAAGGGAGACAACTCGGGGATCTTGTTTATTTTACCGATTCAGTGTGTAGTTTCTTCTTGAACTGCCCTTCGCCTAACGCAAAACTGAGGCCAATTCACACAGACTAGAAACTCCAACTTAACAAAAAGTCAGAACTGATTTCCAGTGCACGGCTTATGCAGACACTTGCATACTCAGTTGCTCTCCCTCCTAATAAAATACTGACGTTTAGATTTTGAGGTCCAAGGCAGAGTGGCCAGGGCTCTGGCTATCTGGGGAACCTCTGCTGTTACTTGACCTCTGCAGTATTGGTACTGCAGAGTGCCTCCACCAGTCCTGTGCTGGCTGTGAGCATGTGCCGCACAGGCTTCCCTACAGGAAGTGCAACTCACCAAGGGGCCTCTGCTGCCACTGCTCTACCCACCGCCACGCAAAGCCCTCCGCATCAGTGACCCAGCCTGGCAGGGATATAAGACAGAACTTTTTCTCGAGGGCACAAGATGCCTTTGTAGGCAACTCTCACTCCTTAGTTTCACTGCTTAGTTTGCTCAGGCAGCACACTTCCACCTACTTTGTCTGCCTCTTCCTTTCACTCTGATCAGACATGCAGAGCAAATTGAAAACTCTCCCAGCCTTCCCTGGCTCCGTCCCTACTTCCTTCCAGGCAGGAGTTTTCCCTGGTAATACCTTCTCATGGTTAGTGCTGCCTTGGTGTCTGCTTTGCGGGGGACCCGAACCAAAACAGGCCCCGTCTGTGCATGGCAGGTCGTTTTGTTTATATGACTTTTTATCTTCACGTTATCATAGTCTGATTTCTCACTCTAGAGTTGGTAGGATTCATCTGTAAGCATGATTGATTTGGAGTGTTTGATGACAAAATTCCCTTCATTCACAATGCTAATAGGCATTTATGAATCAGAAGAATAGTATATTGCAGTGTGAAAACCATATTGTCATTCTTGATGAGTAGTAGAGGGGGCTGAAAATAAACTTCTACCCACAGAATCCTTTAGCTTTTAGAGAAAATATATTCATATTCTGGGCACAAAGGAAAGGATACCCCCTGATGTTTGAAAAGTAAACCTGTGAAATATTTTGATTAAAATAAGGACACATGAGTCCTTTCTCTATAAACCATAATGCCACGTTTACAAATTGAGATTTTTTTTTAATTTTTTTTCAACGTTTTTTATTTATTTTTGGGACAGAGAGAGACAGAGCATGAACGGGGGAGGGGCAGAGAGAGAGAGGGAGACACAGAATCGGAAACAGGCTCCAGGCTTTGAGCCATCAGCCCAGAGCCTGACGCGGGGCTCGAACTCACGGACCGTGAGATCGTGACCTGGCTGAAGTCGGACGCTTAACCGACTGCGCCACCCAGGCACCCCTAAATTGAGATATTTTAATGACTTTTCTACCAGACCCTCTTTGCCTTGATCTCTCTGTTCTTTCTGGGGCCAGCGAACAAACAAATGAACAAACAAACAAACAAACGATAAACATATCATGAAACCTGAAAAGCCATCAGGATATTTAGAAATACAGACAGAAAGGTGTTCTGGCCTAGTGCTTTATACTCTAAAAATCTATGTACATAGCATTGCGTTTGTATGGGCCTTTGGTATATAAGAAATAGACCATTCATCTTTCATTTTATGACTTAGGCTTTTACAAATTAAAAATAACCTACCATCTCCATTGTAGTTGTTATCTTGATGTTGTCTACTTTGAATCTCCGATGGTTATTTATAGCAAAGCAGAGGTTTTGGCCCTGTAATGTACTTTTCTTAAATATGAAGTACAAGTAGAAATGTTAACAATGTCTAGTTGAGATGCGTATTTTATGAGACACCAGCTCTTTTAAGTGCTCCACAAACAGAAGCTTTGTAGTCCTCTGACTCTGCTCACGGGGCATGTGCGACTGGGAGCCACTCGGTAGCATGAGCTGCACAGCTAGGGTGGGCTTGGCCTGTATTTGGCCTCCTAACCTGAATTGCCCTTTGTTTTCGTCTCTTGCAGCTCTCTGTGACATGCACCCCATGAGAGCCCTCTTCCTCATTCCCCGGAACCCAGCACCTCGCCTGAAGTCTAAGAAGTGGTGAGTTTGGTCTTCAGTGTTTTGCAGATTGAAGGGTTTCCTGTGATGCTCTGTTGGATGAGCTCAAATCCATAGGTCCGGCTCCATGAGTAGACTAACATAAACCAAGACTTAGTGAGTGCTTTTCCATATACTATCACTCCTCTTAAGGCACCTATTAAGTACCTACTGTTTGCACAAGTCTTTATCACCACACCTTCCAGGTAAGGAACTGTTAGCTAAAGTGAGTAGTGGAGCCCCAGAAATAACATTGATTTATTACCTCAAGAAGTATCCTTCCTGGCTGCACAAAACATCTTATCAGAGGGGGCGATAGTTCCGAGAGTCAGCTGGTTCGGTGGGCCGACTTTTCTTCTATTCCTTAAGATGACAGTTCTGTAAGTACACACACATACTTGGCAGTGTGAGAGATGATTTTATTGGTCTGTGCATAAATATTTGTAAGTTTTGCTTTTACTGCTGCTTTCTCTTTATGGCAAGTGATATTGGCTTCTTAAGTTGGGTAGTGGTACAACCTTCCCGTTTAATAAACTGATTCACTTAAAAAATTGGCCTAATTTAAAGAAGAATACCGAGGGGCGCCTGGGTGGCTCAGTCGGTTAAGCGGCCAACTTCAGTTCAGGTCACAATCTCGCGGTCCGTGAGTTCGAGCCCCGCGTCGGGCTCTGGGCTGATGGCTCAGAGCCTGGAGCCTGCTTCCGATTCTGTGTCTCCCTCTCTCTCTGCCCCTCCTCCGTTCATGCTCTGTCTCTCCCTGTCTCAAAAATAAATAAAACGTTAAAAAAAATTTTTTTAAAGAAGAATACCGAGTGGATACTAGTATGGGTGGTGTAGGAATATGGCTAAAAATTGTGCTGATAGTATACAATTAACTCAAGTTTGAGACACACAGTTCTGCAGGTTAGGCCAGATGTGGGACTTTTGCCTTTTTTGCCTACTTACATCAGGGCCTTTGTATCTTATTATTGCATAACAAGAATCCGTTGGTCCTTTCTTTCCCCTGTATGTATGGTGGATCTTGATACACCCTTGCCCTGGGATCAATTCCTGGGCTACTTGTGATCTCCTATCTTTTTCTAGAGGCATGTTCTGGGCAGTTAGAACATGAAGGTTCAAGACCTCTCTGTCCCTTTTCACAGTACTTCATGATCACCCTTGACGGGGACCCTCATATTCCTCCCCTACCCACTCACAGCTTTCCTCTGCTATACAGAGAGCAGTTGAATTAATACCAGCCACCTAGTAATGACATAGCAACCCCGGTGTGACAAGGGGAAGGCATACTGCCCAGAGAAGAGAGGGAAACAGCCAGAAGGGACCGGCAGCCCCGAGTTGCAGAAGAAGAACAGAGCATGAGAGTTGCTATTGGCAACAAGGGGCAGAGAAACCCCTGTTCCTCGTTCTCACTCTGGAGGGTCGCTGTGTGATAGCCATTCTCTCCCCAGCAACAGCCTTCCATTGGGTACCTGGATGGCACATGATCAGTGGGGCCCGGAAGCCCTGCTTCCTCCCTTCTCCCCGGAACAGACTTCCTCGGGAGAGCAGTCAGCTCAGTTCCATCTCTGGAAGCATCAGTAGCACTACAAAGCCCTCTGCTCGCTTTCTGCTTGTCCTTGGTGCCAGGCTTCCCTCCCCTCCTCCCCCCAACACACACACACTGTAAAGGGCGGACTTCACTTGCCTGTTCCCTCCTCCCCTTCCCTCTCCCAGAACTGCTGCTGGACAGACGTTTCCAGAGTTCCACCCACAGGAGTCAAACTGGCCATCCACACATGTGTTATGTGTGCTCAACACAGCGTGGCTACACCCCGTGTTTCAGGAACATTTGTATTAATTGCCAACTTTGAAAAATCTGGCGATTGAGCTTTACCTTTAGGTTTCCGGCCTTTTGTGCAAAGGTGTGACACCGGGTGGTCTTTTCTGCCCATCACCACCTCTCCCCGACTGAGAAGTGGGAGTCACTTGGCCACCACACTTGTCCTGTTTTCCTCTTACACGGAGCTCGCACTGCCCTCTGTCTGACCTTTCTGGCTCGCCAGAGAAGCGAGTAAACAGCCTCTGCCCTACAGTTTTAATTTTCTTTGCCCCTGCTCCAAAAAGCTCAACTCTGTATTGGCCTTGTTTGAGAAATACAGACTTCGAGGAAAATACAGGCTGACTTTTCTGCGTCAAACCTTTGACAACAGGAGCTATATCTGATGGTGCTGCAGGGAACAGGGACAGTCCGGGGACAGTGAGGAGGCCAGCCCTCCATCTTGCCCAGCCTCCCTCCACACCCTCCCTGACTCCAAAGGAAAGCCAGTCAGGAGCTCGAGACCCACACTGTTAGAGAGGGGAGGGGGAAAGGACATGGCTGAGACTGAGTGGGGAAACAAAGGCCCTGCTCAAGGGCTCTTTCTCACTCAGAACCCGGCCTTTAGAAGATGGTAATGGAGCCCCCACCACGGGACGTGGGGTGTGCCTTCCAGCTCTCTGCACAGAATTGTGGTTTTTAAGTGAGAATTTTGAGCACTGCAGAGTACTTTCCTGAATGACCAGGTCCAAAGTGATTTGAAATAAGTTAGGAATTAAAAGAGAAAAAATGGGGTACCTGGGTGGCTCAGTCGGTTAAGCGTCCAACTTCGGCTCAGCTCATGATCTCACAGTTTGTGAGCTGGAGCCCCACGTCGCGCTCTGTGCTGACAGCTCAGAGCTTGGAGCCTGCTTTGGGTTCCGTGTCTCCCTCTCTTTCTGACCCTCCCCCACTGGCACTCTTTCCCTCTCTCTCAAAAAAATAAGTAAACATTTAAAAACTATTTCAAATCAGTTAGGGTTTTAACACACCCTAGTGCTTGGGAGGAAGTGAAAACTTTATTTATTTTCCTTTTATATTTCAAGGGAGAGGATCCTTCTCCCCACCCGTCAAAAGAAACAAAACTCCAAAATGTTCTTTTATTCTCTGCCTAATGAATTATCAGATGAAGTGCACCGTTCGCAGTGTGTATATCAAAATACTACCAAAGTGGCTGTGGGGGTGCCATTGTGGTAGAGATGGGCCATAAACTCTTTATTATATGCATTCAGTTGAGGGTCATTTCCACCTAACTTGCTGAATCTACAACATACAGGACATATAAGGCATATATGCATGGTGTAGACTCAGTAATTTATGTGTGTGTGTGTGTGTGTGTGTGTGTAAATTTAAGACCTATATAAATTTAATTTTACCCACAACCCTGCCAGGCAGATGCTCTGAGTCATCCTTCTCTTGCTGTAACACTACGGCTTGGGTAGGTTATGAGCCTTGTGCAAGGCTGTACAGTCTTCTAATTTTCTAAGTTTGTAACCCCCATTTTCCCACCTGCACCATCTGGCCTCTGAAGTTCAAGCTTAGAGTAATAGAGAATGAGATACTGGTCTCTTAGTTGAACAGTTTTTTCCTGTGCCTTAATATTAGGGAAAGAAGGGCCGTAGCAGGGTTCTTTGCCCCTTCCATTGTGGGGGTAAAGGAGAGCAGTCCACTGGCTAGAACCCGGCCCTTCCCTCCCACGTCAGCGAGATGAGGAGAGGCCTCCATGGCAAGGAGGTCATGCAGTCAGGGCTCCAGTCCAGCCATTCGATAATTAGATCTCAGGGAGGATTATAACCTCAGCTGAATTAGAGGAGACCAGGCATCTCTCGGCCGCTGTCTCCATGTCACCACCAGCAAATGCGCAATGAGTTGGGACTCCCATTTCCTCCCGTCTCTGTACGTGGTCAGATTCCACCCACGTGGGTGAACCATCTCCTTCAACACATTTCCTCCTCCCTTATCTTCCCACCGTGCTCAGGCCAGCTCCCCTGCCCTACTCAGTGCTGCAGGTTCCTGCAGGAGTTTCTGGAGAAAGATGGGGATGATTTCATTCCTGTAACAGACAACTGGTCTTTTTCTTTTTCCTTGCTCTTCAAATGCAAAGATTGCACACAGGCAAAGAAGCGTTTCATTGAGATCATTAGGAAAATCGTAACTGCTTATCACTGGGGAGAGACATGAGGTTCCTTGGTCCGGCCCGTTTGTGCCCCAGATGAAGACTAGAGGCCTGGTGATGTTAACTGGCTTATCCAGAGTCCCAGAGTTTTCATTGCTGGAGCCACAGCCCTGAACCCCTTACAGTCACTACTGTTATTTTATGAAACAACAGCTCTGATTCTTGGTGGACTGTCAGGCATTTTTGTTCTTTAAGAACTGACAAAGTTATTTGTGTATGTGTGTTCTAAATAAAATCATAATAGAAAGCAAATATCAGAAAATACTTCAAATTAACTGAATTTGGCAGTAGACCGTGTGACTTCAGGCTTCATTGAAATCAAAACAAAAATTGTTCCACAGCTTTTACAATTAACCTTTTTTGCACAGTCTCCTTGGAGATAGTGGTCTCGTTGACTCTGTGAGCATATCTAATCCAAATATATGTGAAATTAATTCCCTTTAAGAACACTGACCTATTCAGTTCAACTTCTGTTTCTGCCCCCAGCTCTGAGGGCAGATACTGCTGTTGGTTAAGCCTGGTGATGTTCAGAGGTGGCAGGACGTTGAAAACACAATGAAAGTAATAGTAGTAACAATAACAGCAAACATACATATGGCGTCTATGACATGTCAGACACCGTGCTAAGTATTTTATGTGAAGCAATTCATCGGATCATCACAACAGTCATTTGAGATAAATTCTAACGATCCCACCGTTTGCAGCCAGGGCAACTGAGGCACAGAGACGTTAAATAATCTGCCCAAAGTCTCACAGTTAGTAAGCGATGGAGCCCAAATTAGAGAGAAAGGGTGGTTCTGGGAAAATGCAAATTCTAAAGCTCAAATTGCATTTAGGGAGTCCTGCAATTATCAGAAACTTCAGCCTGACTGGTTACAGTGATTAATGTAATAATCTTTCAGGCGTTTTTAATTCCTCTAACACAATTGAATATATAAACAGAAAAAATCTGGGAAGATAAAGTGTTTGGTGATGCTGGTATTAGAACCAGGGCCTCAGACTGTAAGCAGCAAACATTAACATTTATCTCTCCAGGCCACCCCTGGGGAAATTAGTATTACTAATCTCGGGCATTTTTTTTAATAGACAGAACTAAATTACCGGCAGCAGAGATTCAAACAATAAAGTTATATAAATGTACTTTAAACCCATTAGACCGCTCAGCAAACAGTCAAGTGGTGTTCAACATAGGGAAGGGTTTTTACTTTTAATTAAATGTGTAATTAAGCATATTGACTCTTTGGTCACACTAACTTAAATAAGAGACAATGAATCTTTCCTTTGAAGATTTATTTTAAGTAAGCATTATTTTCTCTACAAACTGTTCCATTTGAAGAAGACGTCAGATACATTGCCAGGGTTGCAGTTCTACACATCTTGGCCCAATCTTTGGGCTCAAGGTTATTCTCCTGAAGGTTCCTTCCCACCGGAAGAGATCCTGGAAAGTGGCCTGTGAACCCCAGCTGCTTCCGCGGAACTCTTTGAACACTCTCTTACCCTAGAGATGCCACCGACATTTTTTGGGTGTCAGTACTGGGGAATGGAACATACAGTTTATCGAGTCTGCATCTCATTTTTAAACTGGGTGTGATTTCTTTATTTATCACCCTCTAATTAATAGCTGGGCACTTTATAAAAAGCACTTCCTTCTAGTTGCAAGCAGAAAAAACAGCTTTCATTTGCATTTATCATGAATATTTAACAGCTCCCCGTCTTAATTTGTTTTTGTTTTCATGTTTTTAATACTGATTTTCTACCTAGAAAAGCGCCATGTGGAATTTGTCTATCTCTTTATGCAGGTCAACCTCATTCTCTTCTATTTATTCCTTAGGACAGTCCATTATCCCATGATGGTTTTGTTTTGTTTTGTTTTGTTTTGTTTTGTTTTGTTTTGTTTTTTGCAAAGTCTCTCCTTAGATGATATCACAATTGTGCCTCTACAGATTTGTCTCATGGACCTGAAAAAGAAAGCATATTCAATACTATCTCCTCTCCAAACCTCCTTCTCTGTGCCTCACAAGCACAGATTTGATGGTAGCCATTTTACAGCATCTTACATGTGTAAGAACTTACATGTGATAACCATTCCTGCATTCATTCATTCACCAGACATGTGAGGGCAGGTAAGTGTGCTCAGGATACCAACAACACACCAGTGGTCTTGGAGAACAACAGTGTGGAGGAAGCAGGGCTACAGGCTGAAGGACATACAAGGAGGTACATAGAGGGGCGCCTGGGTGGCGCAGTCGGTTAAGCGTCCGACTTCAACCAGGTCACGATCTCACGGTCTGTGAGTTCGAGCCCCGCGTTGGGCTCTGGGCTGATGGCTCAGAGCCTGGAGCCTGTTTCCGATTCTGTGTCTCCCTCTCTCTCTGCCCCTCGCCGGTTCATGCTCTGTCTCTCTCTGTCCCAAAATAAATAAACGTTGAAAAAAAAAAATTAAAAAAAAAAAAAAAAAAAAGGAGGTACATAGAGTATCCACGCTGTTGTCACTATCTTCCACAGGCCACGGGGTGGCCGATCCCGATTGATCCTGCGGTGACCCCAAGCATAGCAGGGTACATATGCTTCTATGTAAAATAATGTAAAAGCATGAACTTAGCTTAGAAATGCAGGGAGAAAAAAAATATTAATAATGCAGTCCTTCAAAAACATGGAACGAGAAACTGCTTTGACCTAGGCAGAAATGCAGAGTGGTGCATATGCCAGTGCCCTCTTGTGTTTGGATCTTGAATAACATGTTCACCATTGTGTTCTGTGTGGTGAAGACAGCTTTCAAGCCTGAATTCTGTGTGTAAGGTCCGCTGGGAGACAGGAAAGCTTGCTCCTGGGATCCGCTCCTGTTATTCCACAGCACTCCACAGGAGGGCGACGGAGAGCACAAAATGGATTCCCACCTGCTCTGAGCAGGGTGGGGGCCACAAAGAGGGTGACCAGAGTTCCACTAAGGTCTCTGCCCATCATGTGCCGAGATGCCAATGTAGCACATCAGAAAGGCATGCTATATAGTTGTGAAGTAATTATTTATGAGGCTGGACAATTTCTTGGAATGCAGCAAGAACATACATGCCCAACTCATGAATCATAGCTGAAGTCCACTGTTAATTTCTCCCACATTGTGGACTTGCTGCCCTATTCCTTGGTATATTATCCCTCACCAGTTCTCCCCTCCCCTGTGTGAGGCACGGGGTTTATCTTTGAGGAAACAGTGCCTGTCTAGCGGGAGGTAAATTCGTTTCTGGATATGAACTTAGTTCCTAAGTTTCCAAGTCCTTGGGTTGATAGCAAACATACACATACATCCTGTTCTTATTAACTGGAGAGCAAAGTTCAAAAGTAATTTTGAAATTACCATTTAAAAAATTTGCCTAACCAAGCTCACTTTACCACATAAGAATCTTTCTCATTTCTACAAATGTACTCCTCTTTATCTATACAAGCTTGATTTTATGTCCTCCCCCCAGCTTGCGTTTTCTGCATCATTTAGACAACTCTTCTCAGTTCCCCTGACATATAGTGTGCTCAGCCCAGTCCTTAGTTTTTCACTATTTCTTGCCTCCCTGAACTCTCTCCTGAAAGTGACTTCCTCTTCATTCTTTTTTTTTAATGTTTATTTATTTTTGAGAGAGAGAGAGAGAAAGAGAGCTTGAGTGGGGGAGGGACAGAGAGAGAGGGAGACACAGAATCTAAAGCATGTTCCAGGCTCTGAGCTGTCAGCGCAGAGCCCGACATGGGACTCGAACCCACGAACTGTGAGATCATAACCTGAGCCAAAGTCAGATGCTCAACTGAATGAGCCACCCAGGCGCCCCGGTTTCCTATTCATTCTTTAAGTCTCAGCTCTTGTTCCCTCATTACAATAGACCTTCCAGATACACTTTTCACCAAGGTCTTTCTCTTCTCTCATTCCTTTTGGTCTCTTGTGTGATATTACATACAAACTGTGCAAAAATGCTTTTATGCACGTAACTCCCATACATTGCCTGAACTGTGTGTTGATGGTGATGATGTCTTTGAACCCCATGTGCCTAATAAAGGTCTAGACCTACTTTGTGATTGGTTGATTCCTATGTTGGCTAATTGAACCTATTTTCTTCTCTCTTTTTTTTATTCTAGCATTTTGGAGAAATAGAATTTTGCTTTTTCTTTGGATGGTCTTTTTATCTGTGGGTTCATCTCTTTTGTTTGGCAGGTCAAAAAAATTCCAGTCATTTATTGAGAGCTGCTTGGTAAAGAATCACAGCCAGCGACCAGCAACAGAACAATTGATGAAGCATCCATTTATACGAGACCAACCTAATGAACGACAGGTCCGCATTCAACTCAAGGACCATATTGACAGAACAAAGAAAAAGCGAGGAGAAAAAGGTTAGAAGCACATTTGTATTTCAGCAAAGGAAACAAAAGACAGAGCGAGTCATGGGCTCTTGATATATTTGGAGGTGACCATGGGGGTTTCAGATGGACCTGCATTATTCTTTAGTGTGAAGGCCTGCCTCTGAGCTCATAGCCTGTAGGCATCAATGGATTGAGCCCGTGAAATGGAATCTTCATGAAAGGATAGAACTGTAAGGAATATTACCTCTTCCAGGCACTAACAAAGAGACATGTTGAGTAATACTATGAAGTGGTTTAATATGACAAGTGATTTTCTTAGTTCAAATGAATATTCATGTTTTGAAGGCTAAAAATCTACAGAAGACAACCTAAAAAAAAAATCATTTGGTTGACATTTTTGTATACTGGCACTCTTCAGCATTTAAGTTTTTGTGCTCTGAGGCTCATTTAGAATTTAGCTCAGAAGTCAGAATGAATTTTCTTATAGTCACAGAGATGCCAGACTTGCTATTTGGAACATTGAATTTTGAGCTGGAGGATCATTTAATGTACTTCTTTATTTTATAGATTGAAAAACTCTTATCTCTTATGGCTCTGGCTGTTCTACCACACTATCTTTTCATGGCATCGATGGAAAGAACATGAGTTCAAACTTGGGGTCCTGGGGCCGTATCCTGGTTGTTCAAATAGAGACTTGGACTTCCTTAACTAGCATCCTGACTATGCAGAAAATTCACGTGGTCTGGGGCAAGCTTTGTGCCTGGTTGGATGGGGAGTTGGGGAAGGTTGAAGTATGGGGAGGAAAGGGAAAGACCCAGAGGACAGACAGAGTGAGTCCTCCCCAAGTGGAGGCAGGAGGGTCAGTGGAGGAAAGGGGAGGGCTGACGGTGAGGAGGCAGTATAGGGCTGGTAAGGTGAGCCCTGAGCGTGCAGCCATGGAGAGTAAAGGAGAAGACCAGGCACCGACGGTGGGACACAACTGGCGACATGATTTTCCTCTTTTCTGTCCTCGACACCATTCTCCTCTGTTCTTCCAAGCCAGATGGAGCATTGGAGGGTGGTGGGCCCCACAGGACAGAGTGTGTTCTCCTTTTATTTGAATTTCCCTTCTTTGCCTCTGCAGCTACCATCTGTAATGTGGCGAGGTGCAAGCAGGTGTGTGGGGTGGGTGGTAAGCATTGCAGGAGTCAAGACTGTAGAGGTAGGAGCAGCAGGGGGCTGAGGCAGGAGGGGAAATCCTCAGTGAAGGCTCAAGGGAAGGCTTCCTTCTTGGCTGCTGGCCTCAGGGAGTCAGGGAAATGTGCGATCAGGTTAGACTCCAGAGTAGGAGGTTATGAGGTGAAGCCAAAAAGGAGCCCATCACCTGAAACTAATGAAACATTGTATGTCAACTATCCTTCGATTTAAAACAAAGATACATTGCTGAATGTTTGAGGATCAAACTATTTTCACTTGAAGTGCTGAATAGGAAATAAAGCTTCATTGCCTATTTTGATTGAATACAAAATTATTATAGCACTGAAAAATAAATAAATAAAAATTACGAGCAAAACAAAACAATAAAAAAGGAGGCCCATCTCCAGTTGTGAGTGGGTGGAAGGGGATGGGGTGTTTGTCAGAATCCAAGGGGCTGGGAGGGCAGCCCAAGCTGGAGGAACCAGGCATGAGAGAAATAGGTAAGTCAAGGTCAAAAAGCTCCAGGGCTGATTTTTCAACTGCTGTTTATTAATAGTGGTCTTCCACTCCAGGGAATTAAAATTGTAATGGGGACATTTTAGAGAGGTGTGTCAGACATGCAACCATTAAAGTCCAATTTCTCTAAGAGGCAAATTTATTTTTCTATGGGCCTGTCTTTTCCAGGCTCAGACTAGTTCAAATTCTAGCTCTCCAACAAATTCTGACCCCCTGAAGAGTTATGTGAACTTCATCCCAGTTTTCTCATCTTTAAAATAGGAGAGGGGATATAATAGTAATTAGTATTGCCTGGCATTGTTACAAAGATTAAGTGAGATAATGCATTGAAATATTTAATACAATGTCTAGCACATAGTCATACTTAATAAATATTAGCTATTCTCATATAGACAGTTCTTTTTTGACCTACAATTTTTCAGTACTATTCAGAATCACTTCCTGAGAACTCATGACCTCTTTGCCTTTGACCTGTGAGTAGAATGGGTAAAGCTTGTGCCTTGGGTTGCTTTCACATTTGGAGGGCACAAACTCTAAAATGTGACTTGAAACACCCCATTCTATGAAAATAAGACTATTTTTTTTTTTATTTTAGAAAAGGGAGGAGAGGGACAGTGGGACAGAGGGAGAGAGAGAGAATCTCATGCAGGCTCCTTGCTCAGCATAGAGCCTGATGAGGGGCTTGATTCCACAATCCTGGGATCATGACCTGAGCCAAAATCAGGAGTTGGACACTTAACCAACTGAGCCAGCCAGGTGTCCCCAAATAAGACTATTTTTAATGTGTTCCTTCTCTGCAGAGTAGAAGAGTAAGATTCCTGGTAGGAGGTATGCTCCACAGTTACATGGTAATTTAAGAAACCTAATTCTGTTTAGGCTCAAAGCCATCAGAAGCCTTCATTTTTGTCTGCTCCCCAGAAGGAGTATTGATCAAATGAGGTTTCATTCCATTTGCTCAGTTTCGTCAAATTACTTCATTTGCTTCCTGTAATACTTTCATACTCTCTTAGTGGCTCTAAGAGCAGCTTTTGGTACAATCAAACAATTTTATGAGAATTGATTTATGATTTTTTTAAGCCAATATTATTTTTTCCTTAAGATATGTTGACATATGCTAATTTATGCCAGTAATATAAAAACAATAAGACCAGATTTTGGTGAAGTATTCCAGTTGAAGGGCCTGACAAATGCAGGTTTTCCCATCGAGAGTAGAAATAATTGGATTAATTGTGTGTTTCTTTTCCTTGCTAGAATTTCCTTCTCTAGATAAAATTTCCGCAGTTTACTTCCTACTCTTCTTCCATTGATTTATTTCAGGTAAATTTGGAAAAGTACACTTTCAGTGTGGAATATTGAAACACTTTATGGAAGTCCTTTACATTTTGGTGACATAATACTCAAAAATAAGTAGCCTGAAAACTTCATACATATCTAAATATTTGAAACTAACTTGTGACTTTAAAAAAATGCACTTGACATCATCATGCTTTTGGCTCCTTTTCATTAGCCCTTTAATGGCTGAAGAGTATGGAAGGCAAAGGGTTTAGTTCTTTTCATGTGTGCTGCCTCCTGGTGGTAGCCCAACCAAATTGCAGTTTTAGTTCCTTTTTAGGGGTACACAAATGCCTTCAAAGTTATAATTACTAACCCACAGCTATGAAAGGATAACAGTAATGTGACGCCCTGCCTTGCTTAAAAGTAAAAGCTCTTCCAAGATACCCCAAACCCCGCAGAAAAGTCTTCAGCAAGCACTTTTATATAAGGATCAGAAAGTCATATCAGACCTGCTGGCCTAACTCATTCTGTCTGCTTTTCTCACACCCAACATCTAGCCACCAACAACTCATTGTGAACATGTCATGCCCTTTAATACTGTCACCCTTACCCACGTGGTTATGTTGCTTGGAATGTCCTTTTCCCACCACTTTCAGCTGCCATCTGCCTGGAAGGGGGCCACCAACAATTACAATGTGCAGCTCATTTCCTCCTCAAAGGCTTTGCTGCCCCCCTCTCCCTCATTATGACCGATGGGCTTTGCTTCTTTCTCTGATATCTCATTGCTCTTTTTATGCACTTCTCTTTAGCATATAATATCTTGGAAAGAATACTAGTTTCAAAGTTGGAAAAGTTCTGGATTGAACTCTAAATTCAAAGCCCAGATTGACTGACCTTTTATTAATAAGTCATTGGTTCGGTCACTTAACCTCTTGTGATAGTGTCTTCACTTGAAAATGTGTTAAAGTATTGTTACTCAAAATAAATGAAAGAACATAGATAAAGTATCTAGCAGGGTGACTGGCATGGGAGATACCCAATGAAGATTAATTTCTTCATAATCATAGAGGATCTGATTACCTACTTGTCCATCTTGCCCATTAGATTCTGATCTCCTCCAAAGCAGACTCAATCGTATTTATTATTACATATTAACTTGCTTAACATATTACTGAATTAAATGGATGCCCCCAATGGGCAATTGAATGAATGTCCCCAATGGTCCATTTATGTCTTTTTTTTTTTTTTTTTTTTTGAGAGAGACAGAGAGAGAGAGAGAGCACGCGCACACACGTGTGTGTGAGCAGGAGAGGGACAGAGGGAGAAAGGGGCTTGGTCCCACAACCCTGGGATCATGACCAGAGCTGAAATCAAGAGTCAGATGCTCAACTGACTGAGTCATCCAGGCACCCCAACTCTATATTTTTAATAGCACACATTGTCAAGTTTCTTTCTGGTGTTTATCAACATATCTAAAGACAGTTTGTGGGTCCATGTAAGTCATAATAAAACTCCTACTTAAAAAAATGATTAATAAGTTAATACTGGGCCAATAAAAGTTGGTTTAGGTGGTCCCATAATGGGTAATGAACACAAACTGAAAAGTTATTTTGCAGTTCCTTGTCTTGACTTTCATGTGAACACTAGCCATTAGGGACAGGTATCTAGAGTCAGCTGGGACAGTTTTGAATGTTAATTCCATGCACTTGAATCCAGCTGATGGGAACTATTAAATCACAAGTCAGGAGGCCTGGAGTCTGTCCCAGGTCAGCATTAATGACAGCTCTTTGGGCCTCAGATTACTTATATATAAAACAAGGGTGGGGGGGGGGGGGATTGACCGAGCCGCAGCATCTTTTTGTGCACTAACATTCTGTGAGTCTCTCTTTAGATGAGACAGAGTATGAGTACAGCGGAAGTGAGGAAGAGGAGGAGGAGAATGACTCAGGAGAGCCCAGGTAGGAGAGCAAAAGCTAAGTGTTACTTTCACATTCTGAGTTGTGCTTGTGTGAAACGTGCTTCCTTTTGATTTATAGGTTCATTTTTAAGAATCCAGCAAGGTGGTCTCATTTAATTTATTGCCCATGAACATACTCATTAATTTGGGAAAATTTCCCCGGGCAGACTCTTACAAAAATGTGGAAATCAGCGTATTCTTTATCTTGTCCCCTAAGATTTATGGTCTCTATTCTAAGACCTTGTTTCCTCACGTATGTAACGTGTAGAATGGGTAGAGGCAATTATCTGGGTAATACAAGACTCAAAGTACCTAAAACTGCGACTTTCAGGAGACCTCGGTGGTATTTTGGGACTTGAATTATTCACTTCATTACATCATACCTTTCTTTTTTTTTTTTTAAATTTTTTTTTCAACGTTTATTTATTTT